TCTTAATAATTAAAAAGTAAAGAAATAAATAATTAAAATTTTATATAAATATAATATGTAAAATTTATGAGTAAATGAATTTTTATTTATTATCTAAATGCTTTTAATAAATCTCTTTTTAGTGTTAATTTATTAAAAAATTAAAATATTAATATTATATATCATATATGATAAAAAAGAATTGATTCCAGGGAGGACAATAAACAAAAATTCAAAATAGAGGGACTATGGTTGGCTTTAAACTTAAGAGATTACTAGTGGGGTCTATAACATCACATCGGTGATTTGAAAACACTATAAAAAACGAAAAAATCTTGCAAGGGGACACGCAGTCATTGATCAACATCGATATGGGTGCGATAGTGTACAGAGCCACTTGCTCTTACCACAGGAAAAAGCTGTCATCGTTTTCAAAACCCAAATGGTTGGTTTGCGTTGGGCATCTCACAAATCACGCGGCCTCTTTAACACATAGGCTGCTGCTGCTGCTGCGTCTGTCTATCTTCTTTGAGGCCACGAAAACGTGGCCTCAAGCCATGACACCTGTATTCAGTTTTGGTGTCTATCTATCATGAAATCATTCTTCTCTATCTCTCCAAATACACAAAAAAAATTAACTTAAAAATACTTTAACCTTCTAAATAAATAAATAAATAATCTACATCTGCCTGTGTTCTGTAAGGCTCCCTTGCAGTAGTGATTCCTTCATGTTGAGCATTATTTTTTTTTTTTCTGGTTTTAGAATTCAAGATGTTTTTAAATTAATTTTTACATATTTTAAAATTAATTTTTAATTAATTTAATTAAAAATAAGTCATTAATATCAAGACTAGAAATTCATAAAAAATAATTTATTTATTAGCATTTCTTAAATATTAAAACTTAGTTAATAAAATAAAAAGTAGAAAGTAAATCTTATATTAACTAAATTACAACTCTTTTAGTTATATTAAGCATTAAAATATACGAAAGATTGAAGAGAAAGTGCATTGGTAATATGTCAAAGTGAATATCTGCTTTCTGTTTGGACCTAAATGATTTTTGAATAATGAAGGTTGATATACTTTGCTATCAATGATGTTTGTGCACCTCCAATG